AGGCAGGACATCAACGCAAATCTTCAGTGGGCTGCCAGATAATGACATTTGAAGTTCAACGATGAGAAGAATTTAATTGCTCAGATTGGTAAACCAATGAGGAGAGTAATTAATATCTCTTCAGCAGTACAAAAACTATTCTGAGCCACAAAATAGAGCGAATCACAACGTCAAAGACCTGGGGAGTGATTATGTACGGTGGATCGTCACTTCAGGCCATAACATTGTTTCAATCGCATCTGCTAGATAAATGGACAGGATGGATAATGAGAACCTTCAAAACTAGGGATTGGCCAAGCCCATGATGACACTCTTCAGGTCACTTGTTCTATCTAGGCTGGAATATTGCTGCACTATAAAAAGCACCTTTGCACTGGAAGGTGAAATTTACGACCTATGTAAATGTACAGTGATACTTGCACGGCGCGCATAACGGAGATAAAAACACCTCCAATCTATGGGGAAGCGCTTGAGGTTTCTAAACCTGTATTCCCTGAAAGCAGGGAGGGAGTGATACATGATTAGTATACACCTTGGAAGAGATGCCTAGAGGGGACTAAGTACCGAACTTGACACGAAAATCATACTCACTTCAAAGCAAAAGACTTGGCAGACGATTGCTAACCATCCCCCATTGAAAAGCGGGGTGTGTTCTCTTAGTGCACGTTAAGTACCATACATTATGTCAGGGCCGAGATGATTCAACTGGCCTCCCAGCAACATAAGGGGGCATTACAACAGACCCTGGCAGTCTCAAGGCCTCGGCAACTGACAATCACCTAAAAGTCAGTTCTGATCAGCGGGCTGTGGCTCGTACGTTGGTTTGCGTGAGCCAGCAGTCCCCAACAGCCTGGTTGATCAGGCGCTGTATGCCACCAGGAGTGGCCTGGTCACAGACCGGCAGCGGGGGCGTTGACCCCCGAACTCTCTCCAGTAAACTCCATGTAAAACCTCCCATTACACCCGGGGTAACAGGCCATTTGGAATCCTGGGTTGTAATAACTCCGACACATAGTAAGAATGAACTTCCGCTAATGTTTGAACTATTGTAACCCAGAATAAGTCAAATATTTCCATAATTTCAGGAAAAATCCAAATACGTTTTTGAGAAAATCTTAAATATAGAAATGTGAAGTCCAGGGAAAGTTAAAAAGTGAATGTAAGCATAAAATATCGATAAAAGATTGAAGTAGATTATCAGTACTTTCAAATAAACCAGCAGTGTGTGAAAAAACAAAAAATCAAAATAAAGACCTCTGAGGAAAATGAAAGAAATTCTGAATATTCAGTCTTCAGTACTTGGTGGTATCAAAAACATTGTTAAAAGAACGGAAAAATGTGTAGACAAAATGGAATGCATGCTATTATTCTGCTATAAATGGTCATGATGTCTAAAGGACTCGGATATATAGACTGATAATATCTTGGGAGAATGAATATTTATCCTCCGATATTAAAAATAAACCTAGAAACTTCTAATATTTTTAGTTATTCACTATAGCCGTCTAGGATATATTCATTTCTTAAACCTACAAGAAATATTAAAAGTTATTATAATTTATTTTTTTTAAAATCTGAGCAAGTTTTATCAGGACAAAGCTGTTAGTTTCCGTGTTATAAATTGGAGAATAAACCTCCCTGAAAATTAAAAAAAAATATTATTTGAAAACAATGACGAATATTTTACATATTACAACTCTGCAGGATATTACCAGCCGAGTATTACCCATTGACTTATATTATTACTGGAGATAGATTTATTGATATACAAAAGTTTATGGCAGTATAGTTGTGAGATGATGGTGGAAACGGTGGTGGTGATGGTTGTGTGTTGATTAGGCGCTGGTGGTAGTAGGATGGTGGTCCCCCCCCCCCCCCCCCGAGTGATAGTTATAAATAATGATGGTGGTACTAATGATAATGTGGAGATGGTGGAGGTGATGGTGATAATTGTGGTGGTGATGGCAGTGACTGTGATGGTGGTGTTATTATTGGGTGGTGGTGTTGAGGGAGAGGATGATGGTGTTGGGAGGTGGTAGTGATGATGGTGGTGTGGGGGTTGTTGTGATGATGGTTGGTGGGTGGTAGTGTTGTGATGGATGGTGGAGGGGTTGTTGTGATGATGGCTGGGGGTGTAGTGATTGATGGTGGTTGAGGGGTGGTAGTGATGATTGTGGTGAGGGGGTGTGTTGTTGTGTATGATGTGGGGGTGGTAGTGATGATGGTGGTGAGGGGGTTATTGTGATGATGGATGGGGGTGGTAGTGATGATGGTGGGGAATGGTGTTAGGGATCATATAGGCAATATGTATTGTAGCATATTCCTATGAACGCACAAGCATAAGTATGCATAGTACTGTATACACCATTTATATAATAATAATAATATCTATTATTATTATTATTATTATTTTTTTTATTTTTATTATCACACGGCCGATTCCACCAAGCAGGGTGGCCCGAAAAGAAAAAACTTTAACCATCATTCACTCTCCATCACTGTCTTGCCAGAAGGGTGCTTTACACTACAGAATTTTTAAAATGCCAACATTAAACACCCCTCTTCAGAGTGCAGGCCTGCACTTCGCCATCTCCAGTGACTCAAGTCCGGCCTGCGGTTTCCCTGAATCCTTCCATAAATGTTACTTTGCTCACACTCCAACAACACGTCAAGTATAAAAACCATTTGTCTCCATTCACTCCTATCAAAAACACGCTCACGCATGCCTGCGGAAGTCAAGCCCCTCGCCTCAAAACCTCCTTTACCCCCTCCCTCAACTGTCTTTCCTAGGCCGCCCCCTTACCCCGCATGTCATCTCTCCATACATGACCGAAATCTGAACACTCTTGAAGTCATTCTGAATTTCGCTCCATGTCTCTCTACATGTGTCAGAAACACCTCATACAAACCTTCCTCAGCCTTTCTGGACAACGCAAGTTTTTGTATCCCGCACCTCCTGCCTAAATTCCAAACTACGCAATTCTCTGATTTATATTCACACCACCCACATTTAAAGTTATTCTACTTAATTATTTCTCATAAAATACAACATTAGTGACTGAAATCTTCTCTGCTTCGCTTTTAATCATAATAACGGTAATAATTACTATAATAAAAATTATTATATTGTTATTCTTAGGAGAATTTTCTATCAAAAAATGAATAAGCGATCGCCAAAGAAGCCATAAATGAAGATAATATTTTACATTATGGGGGATAACTTTCTGATAGTGATAATTATCCACAATATAAGTATATAAGAAAGAAGGAACACTGCAACAGGCCTACTGGCCCATGCGAGGCAAGTCCAATTCTCCCACCGGCTTAAGCCAATGCCTTGACCTAGTGAGGTCAGACACGTCACTTAAGGGAGGAGCACGGCATCCGACCTAGTAGCACAAGCTAGTCAGGTCCAACTCACACCCACCCACAGGCAGATCAGACGCTGAGTGATTACAACACAACCGTAACTAGTCCCCGGAAAAATGTAACTGACATTAGCTTCTTAGCTGTATATATAAATTAGTACAACAGAATCGCTGCATATATTCTGCGACTGGCCAGTGACGGAACAATCAAGTCTGCTCCGAGGAAGGAGAGGAAGGCAGCTCTGGTGAGTGACGTCAGGCTTCAGTAAGTGACATTAGGCTCTAGAGTGATCCCAGGCTCTAGTGAGTGACCTAAGGCTATATTGAGTGACTTCAGGCTCTACTGAGCGACCACAGGCTCTAGTGAATGTCCTCAGGCTTCAGTAAGTGACATCAAGCTCTCGAGTGATCTGAGGCTCTAGTAAATGACCTAAGGCTCTATTGAGTGACTTCAGGCTCTAGTGAGCGACCACAGGCTCTAGTGAGTGACCTAAGGCTCTATTGAGTGACTTCACTCTCTAGTGAGTGACCACAGGCTCTGGTGAGTGACCTCTGGCTTCAGTTGGTGACATCAAGCTCTAGAGTGATCTGAGGCTCTAGTGAGTGACGTCAGGCTCTATTGAGTGACCCAAGGCTTTAGAGTAATCTCAGACCCTAGTGAGTGACCTCATGTTCTAGTGAGTGACCTCACTCTAGTGAGTGTCCTCAGACTCTAGTGAGTGTCCTCAGACTCTAGTGAGTGTCCTCAGACTCTAGTGAGTGTCCTCAGACTCTAGTGAGTGATCTCAGGCTCTAGTGAGTGACCTCAGGCTCTAGTGAGTGACCTTAGGCTCTGGTGAGTGACCTTAGGCTCTGGTGAGTGATGTCAGACTCTAGTGAGTGACATCACATTCTAGTTAGTGACCTCAGGCTCTAGTGAGTGAACTCAGGTTCTAGTGAGCGACCTAGGGCTCTATACTGATCTCAGACTCTAGTAAGTGACCTCATATTCTAGCTAGTGACCTCGGGCTTTAGTGACATCAGGCTCTATTGAGTGACCTCAGGCTTTAGTGAGTGACCTCAGGTTCTAGTGAGTGACGTCAGACTCTAGTGAGTGATCTCAAGCACTACTTAGTGATCTCAGGTTCTAGTGAGTGGCCTCAGACTGTAGTAAGAAACTTCATATTCTAGTTAGTGATCTCTGGCTCTAGTGAGTGACCTCATGCTGTGGTGAATGATTTCGGGCTTCAGTGAGTGACCTTAGGCTCTAATGAGTAACCTCAGACTATAGTGAGTGACCTCTGGCTCTAGCGAGTGGCCTCAGGCTCTAGCGAGTGACGTCAGGCTCTAGCGAGTGATATCATGATCTAGTGAGTGACCTCAACTTCTAGTGAGTGACATCAGGCTCTTGATCTAATTCCTTGGATCAAGAGCCCTTTACCGGCATCAAGGCATTCTACCTGGTTGGAACTTTATCAAATGCGATTTCCCAGTTTGGTGATTTTCCGTAAAATGAATCATACATTTTTAGGTATTTATTTTATTTAATTTACACATATGTGAAGATTGGTATTATTATATTCACACTAGTGTTGAATCTGCTTATGGAGAATTACTCCTGTCTGTTTATATATTTAATTTTTCTTCTCTCAGTGTTTTCATGGTCACAATGACAGATCAAGAGGACGCAGAGGCGCGTCAAGCCTCTTGGATTCACGGAATCCTGGTGACGGTAAGTACTTGGCAACTGTTTACTGCAAAGTGCTTCAGATTCTGCAGTAATTCTTATATGTATCTACTGAACTGCTTATTAAAAAATGTACCAATAAATCTGGTACTGCAAGGATTTAGCAAGTGAGATGCCTGACTTAAGTATCGCAACCGTTAACTCTGCCACATTCAGCCGTTCTAATTTGTAATAAATATTTATAGTAAGTAGCTTGTAGCTAGTGAAGAATAGTTTATGCTAAAATGTTATATAATATGAAAGGTTATAAATAAAAAATACATAAATTTTTCACATATCTTACACGTCACTCTCTGAACTTAATTTCTGCTCCTGCAAGTATTACGGTGTTCCAGGGAAGAAAATTAAGCTGACTGAGATAATGGTGATGTTTTGTCTATAGGAATGAGTAAATTTCTCCTGGTGCGGAGACTATGTCATTATATCGAGTTCTTTATCTGGTTTACTTGTGCACATCGTAAAAAAACAAAAGACTGATGGTTGAGAAAACTTTCCAGTATCACCGTTCAATTATAACGTGAATGTTTTCTCTCTTCTAACAGGAATTTTAACCCTCGTTCTATACCATATAGGCGAGAATAGCTAAATATAGCTCTGAATTACCCAATAAACGATTTCAGTAAAGCTTGGCAGTTTCGCTGGAAAAAAAATCTTAATATATATTTTGTCCGCAGTTGTGCTACCAATGGAAGGATACGAACCTGGAAAGCAGAATGCTGAAAGAACAGACAAGTATACTGTGATATTCTGTAAACCCTACTTTATATGGTGGTTATATCATGTCCTTACCTGTGATCCATACCTCATATTTTAATTATAATCTTGACGTATAATTATGAACTGAATATTACTAAGGTACTTATGTTCTTCAGGTGCGGCCCACAACAAGGCAATGTCGTCAACAAGTCGGTGAGATCGTACTCTATTTGCTTTATTACAATGGTGTTTTCAAATACAGTAATTAGACCTCATGTAGATGGTTACTTGAGTTTGTTGTGCGGTCGCTGCGTAAAACGAGGAATGTATTAGTGTTCCATAATCACTGTTCCTTGCGGCTCAGTACACGGGATTGTAATAAAATAGTGTTGTATAAGTTGATTAGTATTGACGATTTAAAGGGAATTACAAGAGGCATTCATAAGTCGTTAAATGGAAACTAATATACAAATTTGAGTAAAAACTGTAATTAGGACATATATGTTCCAAATTTAATTCAAACGTTTCAAAAAGACCACAGGGACGAATATCCTAAGTACATTAAGCTGTAAGCCACTCAGAAGTTGTATTACACTATTATGACCATGGAAGATACTCAGAAATTAGCACATGAAAACCAGTATTTCATTTTTTTTCCAATTCCAAGAAATGAATTGGGAACTACAGAGGCTAAAATTAATTCAAACTTTCTTCTAAGTAAGGCTGGCCAGCTTTTGAGAAGTTTTATGTAAGCTTAATGTACATAACACAAATATTTTAAGAATGGTCTTGAAGGCTCACAAGTTATTAGCACATAAAAAAAACATTAAGTTCATTTAACCTTGCAAAAAGAAATAAATTGCAACACTGATATATTTCTGATCAGCAGAGACATTCTTCAGTTATTTCACAAAAATCAGTTTGGCTAATGAAACTGATATATAATAATTTACACAGCCTAACATCAAGAAACAGTTTCCCTTCAGGAAAACATTAGTACTATAAGTCTGAAGCCAACCAGAAGGTGCATTTTCCAGTAATTCCAACTCTAGAGTTCGTCACGGCCACGCTGGCGGGAGAATCATCTGTAAAAACTCTTATTTGCGGTCACACTGGGACCCATGCTAACCACCCTATGGTGTATAACTATACCTGGCTGGATGAGTCGTAAAACTCCAAACCCAGTGGCTTACACACTGGCCTGGACTTTTACAACTCACTTGCCGCATGTTCAAGCCCCACCGTACCAAGGTTTGTTTACAATCGTGCCATTACGATTTCGTGAGTCAAATTTGTGCCTACACAGCCTTAACCCATGAAACATTCCATCCATTTCATGCAATACATATTGATGCTGTTCAGGGGTCATATAGCACCTGTGGAATGGGAGACATTCAGATTCGATTCAAGTACGAAGGAAGATAAGTCCAGGTACTTGAATTACGAGCCTCACCAGCATCAAGAACAACATCAAGGACAAAATGCAACGAGGCAAAATAGTACTATCTCAACGCTAAAAGTGACAAAATGGCCTATAAAAAGAGCCTTTCTCTAGTAATCACAAGGTTACAGAAACATGGTAATGACCCATCTAGGATTTCTGTATAGAGCTCCCACGCATACAAATTGTCCCATGAATCTTACCTTGAAATTTTGAAGCCGGTCAAATAAGGCTTTAAAGAGTAATGTTAAAAATGCCATAAATCTGATTTTTTTTTTTTTGGTACATTTATTATAAAATTCAGAAAAAAATTAAGCCGAATTTGATAAAATTAAAAAATAGCAAATTAGCTCCAACACAGCTCAAAATTAAAACAAAAAATACTTATTAAGCTTCACCAGCCTTTAGGATTTGTAGCCGATCATCAGAAGAGGTAATTTGCTTATTAAAATTAGCAAATTAAATTCTTTTTACCACTCAGTGATTAAAAGCTGTGTTTTAATAAAGTCTATTAATGGCAAAGGTTTGAAGCCAAGCAGAAAGGGTATTCTCGAGTAATTGATCAGATTCCAACGATTTAAGTAAAATTTCAAATTTGCACCTATTCGAACTAGTGTCATCATCCTTATTATAGAAAACATCGTTAATAATATTTTAAAGCCAATTAGAATAAACATTTATTAGTTATTGAATAAAATATGAATATAACTATTCAGTCAAATTAGCAAACTGAGATTTATTCCAGCCAGTTATCAGTGTGAATCTTGTGCTGAAAAAAAAAACACACAACTGGTGACAATTTCAAGTCGATCAGATAAGTTATTCTCCAGTTATAACATGGATTCCAACAATCCCAAGTTAATTTTACTATTTTACTGTATTAACAATTTAACCTGCACGTAAATAGTTACTAGGCACTATTGCCCTGGTAATAAGATGCATCAGCCATTAAATATTGAAGCTTTTGAGAAGAGGTAAACTGAAATTTATTTATCATGATTTAACGGAATGAAAATTTCACACTATTAGACAAAAAAAAATCGACAAATCATATTTCACTCTCCGTCGTCGTCGTTTTTTTTTCACATCTGGAGCTTCGTCACTGAAAATTTTGGAAGTTATCCGAACCATTCCAGAATGCTGGAAACTGGTTCAATAACTTTGGTCATAGGGCACGTGAATGTGCCAGTTATTTCTAGAATCTGAACCTCTCTACCGTACGCTAGTATTAAAAATCTAAAGCGATCGGATGAGGTGTTCTTGAGTTATGAGCAGGATATATTCGAAGAGTAGCAGAAAAACCTAGACAGGTATCCCCGAGGGGATACCTATCTAGTTTAACCAAGTCTGTTATCATTTTACTCTAATATTATCCATTTTATAGTTTTTTAAGCTACTATATTTTGCCTTTTACAAGACATGAATAGTTTCAACCTTGTAATACACTTGTTCATATGTTAAATTGTTTCCATATTAAAACAGAATAATCAATAAAAAGAACATAGTTCATTCTAAGATTCCAACATTTTTCCTTCAGTAACTCTTATTCATTTTTAAAATCCTCTTTTATCACTATTCATCTAAACTTTCTTTACATTATAAGTAATAAGAAATATTAATGTATAAACCCATCTAAGGAGCGGAATGCAGCTCATTATGCAGCAGAGGTTGGTGATGTGGACTCACTACAGAAGTTGGTGGAAGAATACCGGAGAATCTTGTCATCCAGGACAAATATGGCAACACACCACTGCACCTGGCTGCTGAAGGCGGCTACCTAGAGTGTTGTAAAATCATTCTGGGGATCAGTACCAAAGAAGTCAACCTCAAAAACAAAGCTGGAAATTCCCCACTTCTACTTTCAATAGCCACAGGAAAAAAATCTACACAGATTACGGAATTACTCATTCTCAATGGCTCTAAGTTAAATATAGCAAACAAACGCAAATGGACAGCCCTGCACATAGCAGCTGAGAAAGGTAATGTTAAAACATTAAAGTTGCTGCATCAACATGATGATAAATGTCTTCAAGCTAAGGATTCAGAAGGGCTGACACCTCTGCATGTAGCGGCCAAAAATGGTCACTGGAAGATCTGTAATGAGCTTGTGGAGGCAGGTGCCAATATAGAAGAGAGGGATAGTCACGGCTCGACACCACTTCACTGGGCTGCAAAAATGGGATTTACTGAATGTTGTAGGAAGCTGCTGGAGCACAACGTTTCTATTAACAGTGTAAACAACAAGGGTAACACCCCCCTTCATTTATTATGTGCATCTGGCAAGGAAAAAACAGATTGTGCCAGGTTACTAACTGAATACGGAGCTGATGTTAATGCCCAAAATAAAAACGGTGAGACTCCATTTCATCTTTCCTTTCGTTCACCAATCGAAATGGCAAAGATTCTCTTAGAAGAAAACGTTAATTTACAACTGATTGACTGTAATGGCAGGACTGCTTTGCATTATGCTGCTGAGAGGTCGCCTTCTGATTATGTTAAGCTTGTTATGACCATGAAAAATTCAAAGGAAATAATAAATAAAATAGATAAGCAAGGAAAAACAGCCCTGCACGTAGCAATTTCTAAAAAAGCAGCAGAAAGTTCTAAATTTCTGATAAAAGTCGGTGCTGACTGCTCCATTACCTGTGGTAAAACTGGCACTGCCTTACATATAGCAGCTCAGAATGGTCTAAATGAAATCTGTGATTATCTTATTACCAAGGGTGTCAAAGTTGACACAAAAAACAGTGAAGGATTAACACCACTACACATGGCAGCCAAAGCAGGTCATGAAGACTGTTGTGTTGTGCTGTGCAAGAGAAGCAATTCACCAGATGTTCCAGATAATAATGGAATGACAGCTCTCCACCATGCTGCCAAGGGCAAACATGTTTCTTGTTGTAATGTCGTAACAGGCAGATATCCAAATTCTGTTAACTCGAAAGATAATTCAGGTAAAACTCCTCTTCATATTGCTGTGGAAGCCAAGTCTCTGGAGTGTTGCAAGGTCATGGTGACACCCAAAACAGATCTGTGGGCTACATCACTTACTGGCAGCCCAATTAAAATGGCTTCTGAGGCAGACTCTCACGACATCTTCAAATTTCTTTTGAATAAAGTAGAAGTTAATAGAAGCCACAACAAGAAGAACATGAATTTTCAAGATCTTTTTGGAAAATCGCTGAAAAATAAAGACAGGTAAGTAACGTGTGTCCGCTTGTTCATTATCTATTTACAGAAACAAGAACAGACAGGTATAGTGATGGTATTCGACATTCCTTAAATGATTTATTATATGTTTCATTTTTCAATGGTTGTAAATGAGCACATATTATCTCTTAGTGTTATGTTGCTGCTCACGTTACTTATTAGTTCCCAGTTCCCTTAAGTAAACAAGTTTACTTACCTGGAGTTTACCTGGAGAGAGTTCCGGGGGTCAACGCCCACGCGGCCCGGTCTGTGACCAGGCCTCCTGGTGGATCAGAGCCTGATCAACCAGGCTGTTGCTGCTGGTTGCACGCAAACCAACGTACGAGCCACAGCCCGGCTGATCAGGAACTGACTTTAGGTGCTTGTCCAGTGCCAGCTTGAAGACTGCCAGGGGTCTGTTGGTAATCCCCTTATGTGTGCTGGGAGGCAGTTGAACAGTCTCGGGCCCCTGACACTTATTGTATGGTCTCTTAACGTGCTAGTGACACCCCTGCTTTTCATTGGGGGGATGGTGCATCGTCTGCCAAGTCTTTTGCGTTCGTAGTGAGTGATTTTCGTGTGCAGGTTCGGTACTAGTCCCTCTAGGATTTTCCAGGTGTATATAATCATGTATCTCTCCCTCCTGCGTTCCAGGGAATACAGGTTTAGGAACCTCAAGCGCTCCCAGTAATTGAGGTGTTTTATCTCCGTTATGCGCGCCGTGAAAGTTCTCTGTACATTTTCTAGGTCGGCAATTTCACCTGCCTTGAAAGGTGCTGTTAGTGTGCAGCAATACTCCAGCCTAGATAGAACAAGCGACCTGAAGAGTGTCATCATGGGCTTGGCCTCCCTAGTTTTGAAGGTTCTCATTATCCATCCTGTCATTTTTTCTAGCAGATGTGATTGATACAATGTTATGGTCCTTGAAGGTGAGATCCTCCGACATGATCACTCCCAGGTCTTTGACGTTGGTGTTTCGCTCTATTTTGTGGCCAGAATTTGTTTTGTAATCTGATGAAGATTTAATTTCCTCATGTTTACCATATCTGAGTAATTGAAATTTCTCATCGTTGAACTTCATATTGTTTTCTGCAGCCCACTGAAAGATTTGGTTGATGTCCGCCTGAAGCCTTGCAGTGTCTGCAATGGAAGACACTGTCATGCAGATTCGGGTGTCATCTGCAAAGGAAGACACGGTGCTGTGGCTGACATCCTTGTCTATGTCGGATATGAGGATGAGGAACAAGATGGAAGCGAGTACTGTGCCTTGTGGAACAGAGCTTTTCACCGTAGCTGCCTCGAACTTTACTCTGTTGACGACTACTCTCTGTGTTCTGTTAGTGAGGAAATTATAGATCCATCGACCGACTTTTCCTGTTATTCCTTCAGCACGCATTTTGTGCGCTATTACGCCATGGTCACACTTGTCGAAGGCTTTTGCAAAGTCTGTATATATTACATCTGCATTCTTTTTGTCTTCTAGTGCATTTAGGACCTTGTCGTAGTGATCCAATAGTTGAGACAGACAGGAGCGACCCGTTCTAAACCCATGTTGCCCTGGGTTGTGTAACTGATGGGGTTTTTAGATGGGTTTGGGGATCTTGCTTCTTAGGACCCTTTCAAAGATTTTTATGATATGGGATGTTAGTGCTATTGGTCTGTAGTTCTTTGCTGTTGCTTACTGCCCCCTTTGTGGAGTGGGGCTATGTCTGTTGTTTTTAGTAACTGTGGGACGACCCCCGTGTCCTGCTCCCTCTCCATAGGATGGAAAAGGCTCGTGATAGGGGCTTCTTGCAGTTCTTGATGAACACAGAGTTCCATGAGTCTGGCCCTGGGGCAGAGTGCATGGGCATGTCATTTATCGTCTGTTCGAAGTCATTTGGCGTCAGGATAACATCGGATAGGCTTGTGTTAATCAAATTTTGTGGCTCTCTCATAAAAAATTCATTTTGATCTTCGACTCTCAGTCTGGTTAGCGGCTTGCTAAAAACTGAGTCATATTGGGACTTGAGTAACTCATTTCATTTCCTTGCTGTCATCTGTGTAGGACCCATCTTGTTTAAGTGGGGGCCCAATACGGGACGTTGTTCTCGATTTTGATTTGGCATAGGAGAAGAATACTTTGGGTTTCTTCGATTTCATTTATGGCTTTTAGTTCTTCCCGCGTTTCCCCTGATCCTAAAGGATTCTTTTAGCTTAAGTTTGATGCTTGCTATTTCTCTGACCAGTGTCTCCCTACGTATTTCAAAAATATGGACCTCTTTTAGCCGCTCTGTTATTCTTTTCCGTCGCCTGTAAAGGGAGCGCCTGTCTCTTTCTATTTTACATCTACTCCTCCTTTTTCTTAGAGGAAATAAGCCTTGTGCATACATCGAGTGCCACCGATTAATCTGTTCTAGGCAAAAGTTGGGGTCTGTGTTGCTAGTATATCTTCCCAGCTTATATCGGTTTAGGACTTGGTTTACTTGGCCCCACTTTATGTTTTTGTTATTGAAGTTGAATTTGGTGAATGCTCCCTCGTGACTATCTCATTATGTCGGTCTGGGGCTCCACGCATACATGTCTGAACCTCAATTATTTGTGACTGAGTATATTGTTTTTGATATGGTGACTTTTTCTTATCAATCATCATTGTTAGTGAAGATGAGGTCTAGTGTATTCTCCAGTCTAGTAGGCTCTATTATTTGCTGGTTTAAATTGAATTTTGTGCAGAGATTTAAAAGCTCGGTGAGTGTGAGTTTTTCATCAGAGCTGCCCCCTGGTGTTATTACTGCAAAAATATTTTTTGCTAAAATTCCTCCATTTTAGTTGCCTTAAGTTGAAATCCCCCAGGAGCAAGATTTGGGTGCAGGAGCGGGAAGATTTCCAGACAGGGGTCAATTTTAACAGCTGTTCCGGGAAATTTGGCTGGGATGTTGCATCCAGAGGCTTGTAGACTACCACAATGACTAGGTTTTGGTTCTCGACCTTTACTGCTAAAACTTCCACTACATCATTTGAGGCATTAAGCAGTTCTGTGCAAACAATGACTCTGCAATGTACAGGCCAACCTCCCCCCCCTTTGCCTGTTCACTCTGTCACATCTGTATAGGTTGTAACCTGGGATCCGTATTTCGTTGTCCAAGTGATCCTTTATGTGGGTCTCAGTGAAAGCCGCGAACATTGCCTTTGCCTCTGCAAGCAGTCCACGGATGAAAGGAAATTTGTTGTTTGTTGCTGGCTTTAGACCCTGTATATTTGCAAAGAAGAATGTTATCGGACTGGTGTATTGTTGGTACTGGGGGGGGGGGGTTCCGGCATTAGTATCTGAAATCTGTTGTTTGGAGTGGGGGCCCATCGACTGTGGTTCCACTCCAGGAATGACTGGATTTGGTGTACGATTTCTTCCATTTCCTGCCAGTTTTTTTTCCTTCCTGGCACTAAAAAACCTCTCCCTCTTGAGTGGCTGTGGGTACCCGTTTTCCCATGGCCTGGATGTTTTGTATCTTTTTGTCCCCTTTAGATGGGGATGCCTGGCAATTTAAGTTTAGCACAGTCTTTCCTGTACTGAAGAGGTACACAGTTCAGGGTGAAAAAGCTTACAGGAAGGGAGTTTGCATTTTCCTGGGTTTTCAAAATGGGCTGGCATTTTCTGGGTGGTCATAGTTGCACGTCCCGTCTGTTTTTTTCCCGATTTTCCCATGCCACAAATACCAAGTGCATAGTATGTGCACAGGCTTGGTTTCCGTTTGCCTTGGGTTTCTGTGACTGTATTCCCTGTTGGTGCATGTTTCCCTGTCTTACTTCTATCCTCCCTAGCACCAACAATGGACTTTCCCCCCAGTTGTTTTTGGTAATATATCCTCACTATTGCTAGTGGAGTCCTCTTGTTTGCTATTCCTGCGTATTTCTAGTTTGTAATATTGGTTTTATCTTATCTTTGACTACACTTGTTTCCCTACTATGGCTCCTGTCCCCTATGAGGTCATTTATATGTATTCCTTCCTGCGTATAATTCCCCACTACCTGGACAAAATCTCCAGCTTAACCATTACTGTCTCCCAGGACAGCACCTCCACTTACCATACTCTTGTTATATATTACCTGGAGTTTACCTGGAGAGAATTCCGGGGGTCAACGCCCACGCGGCCCGGTCTGTGACCAGGCCTCCTGGTGGATCAGAGCCTGATCAACCAGGCTGTTGCTGCTGGCTGCACGCAAACCAACGTACGAGCCACAGCCCGGCTGGTCAGGTACCGACTTTAGGTGCTTGTCCAGTGCCAGCTTGAAGACTGCCAGGGGTCTATTGGTAATCCCCCTTATGTATGCTGGGAAGCAGTTGAGCAGTCTCGGGCCCCTGACACTTATTGAATGGTCTCTTAACGTGCTAGTGACACCCCTGCTTTTCATTAGGGGGATGTTTTCATCGTCTGCCAAAATCTTTTGCTTTCGTAGTGAGTGATTTTCGTGTGCAAGTTCGGTACTAGCCCCTATAGGATTTTCCAGGTGTATATAATCATGTATCTCTCCCGCCTGCGTTCCAGGGAATACAGGTTCAGGAACCTCAAGCGCTCCCAGTAATTGAGGTGTTTTATCTCCGTTATGCGCGCTGTAAAGGTTCTCTGTACATTTTCTAGGTCAGCAATTTCACCTGCCTTGAAAGGTGCTGTTAGTGTGCAGCAATATTCCAGCCTTGATAGAACAAGTGACCTGAAGAGTGTCATCATGGGCTTGGCCTCCCTAGTTTTGAAGGTTCTCATTATCCATCCTGTCATTTTTCTAGCAGATGCGATTGATACAATGTTATGGTCCTTGAAGGTGAGATCCTCCGACATGATCACTCCCAGGTCTTTGACGTTGGTGTTTCGCTCTATTTTGTGGCCAGAATTAGTTTTGTACTCTGATGAAGATTTAATTTCCTCATGTTTACCATATCTGAGTAATTGAAATTTCTCATCGTTGAACTTCATATTGTTTTCTGCAGCCCACTGAAAGATTTGGTTGATGTCTGCCTGGAACCTTGCAGTGTC